ATGTCAGGAGCAGCCGTAGTACGTTACCTAATTATACTGCTGTCTCTGTAAAGTCTCCTTTCTCAGACGCTCTCTTATTTATCAAGACTGGCAACGGGGTTTTACTGCAAAACTAGAAGGCAACTGCTCTATGTGGCACATACCGTAATGTTCATGTGGATTTAGTAATGGGGGGGGGGGGGGGGTTTATTCTAGAAATCTAATGTTTATTGCTTGTTAGTTCCTAGGATTTGGACCACTTATAACAATGACAAGTGTACTCAAAGTGAAGAGTGACCCGCTTTTTCTAAGTGTTCCTGAAAAAGACATTTGATTTGCTCCAGTTTCCTCATTCACCCTTCATTCAAGTTACATTAAAGAAAAAAGGCGAAGGAAATGCTTATAACATCCGTTTTATTGGACCGAAAGGCATACTTTGGGTATCTAGGGGCAAACAACTTTTCCCATTCCTACCAAAGCACGCCCCTAGCAAACAGTGTCAGTGGTGACGCCCTACCGCCAAAGTGGCTGAAGCTGATTTGTATTGGGAGATATAGAATGAGTTCGAGCCTTGCCGTCACCATCGTTACTGGGCAAGCGACGGTAGCTTTGTATGGCATGAACTCGTTGCCATAAAGTCAGATCCAAATATCTATCATTTATTAAAAACAAAATAGAGAAAAAAAAAATTATGTAATGAATGCACTGTTCGATTGTGGAACGACGGGATCTCGCTCTCTGATTGGTCAAAACTATCTTCGACCCCTCCCCCTAAAAAAACAAACACGCCTTAATACTATTTTTATATTTTTTAGATTGACATTAAAACATCAAGTTACACCTAGTACAACTACTTCCACTGAATTAAGGAGTATCAAATGTCCAGCTCTTCCTTCTTATCAAATTGCCTCAATCCTGCAACATTTCGATTCAATGAAATTGGATTAAAGTCATGTAATAGATATTGTTATCTTTTGTTGACTTGGTTCACATACGTTCCATTTCTTTTAACTAAAATGGTGATCTTCATGGGATGACGAAATGGGCACTTGGCGCTCCTTGAATCTTATAAATCAGTGGACAAATCTGCCCTCTTAACTCTTATCATACCACAGGGCTTATCCCCATTGTGCCAAGCCCCAAATCCCCCGTACCAGGTTTATTTTGAGATAATCTGATTAACGCGATGGTTCTATGAATAGCGCGTGCGAAACACACAGCACAGTCCAATCAAAATAAACAATAACTGCTATTACGAATGCGTGCTTGCACGTACATGGCAGTGAATCAATGGTTACCTCGCATGTACAAAGCACTCTAACGGTAGCGTGCATGCAGCCTCGTGGCATGCTATGAGTTGAACATGGTCTACAGTTAGTACCGTTTTATTAAGACCGACCGCTATTGCGTTAAATGCCTGCTATACAGAAGTTTCCAAATAATCCAGTCACGATTTTAAAATGAGTGGAACATTGATGATTTAATTGATTTTCCCGCGCTCCACACACACAGACCAGCTTTTACATGTGAGCTAATATTTGAATAGACCATTCGATGAAAAATGCAATGCAAGCGAATGTCTGTGTGGTTTTGCTTTTCTGTCTTCTTTTTAGTATTGGCATTACTGTTCTTGCAAATCTTCAGATTTCAGATGTCATGGTTGAGTTGAATCTGTGTCAAACTCCGTCTACGAAACTTTTTGGGTTATAATTACGCTGGCATATTTTCGAAATCTAGGAAATTTTACAACAGTAGTTGTATAGACTTCTTGTTCAAGAGAGAGGAAGAGAGGTGCATGATGGGAATCGAGGGGAGTGAGTGAGTGAGAGAGAGAGAGAGAGATGTCGAGAAAGTGAGAGGTAATGAGCCTGTGAGAGAGGAAGTATTATATGTCTTAAACTTTTCTTCTAATATAAAATGTCAGAATTCGTTCATCTTATTTATTACACTCGTCGTTAAGTTTATATTTGTCCATAATAACAAATTACCGCATATGATCATACTGAAATCAAATCAACGAATCGATGACAGGGAAATTTCGACAAGGGCAACCTTCGGGGCCGGTAACCTTTCGGTAATGTTGTGTTTGCTTACGAATAAATTGTCTATGTATGCGGGGACGTCAACCTTCTTTAATAATAGAGAAGGGAGACGAACTTACTGGTGAATTTTTTTCCTTCAAGAATACATATTTTTCAACGGCAAATCTCGACCTGCCTCTGGAATTGGTGACTCTGTGCACACAGATTACTTTCCATAATTATAATAATATTTTGATGCCTGGATAATGACTGGAGTAAAGGTTAGTGACGATGGAAAGGTTATAGATATATGCTCTCGCGACAGCTGACAATGTTGAGAAAAATCATATACTAACAGGATTCCTAAATCTGAACCTGGACATGAGCAGGGGTGTCGCTAGACTAGACCTTTTTCAGGGGGTGGGGGGGGGGGGGGGGGGTCTGTAGATGCCACCGATTACCGACAAAAACTAGCCACCAATTACCGACAAAATACATAAATGCCAATGTGCCAATGTCTACAAGTTTAACCCTATAAACCTGGGGCCGGGGGCTAATTTTCTTACGAACTATCTTCACCTGCGCATGCGCACATTGTCATTTCCCTTGACCTCATAAATATACGGGTTATTTCATCCAGACTAGTCAGCATCTTAGCTTTTATATTTTTGTAAAAATGTGCGACTAAAATGTGCAGGTTCTTGGTGTGGCGTGATCGGAAAAAGCGCTGCGCTTGTACACATATGTATTTTTTTCTTTTTTTTTGGTCTCGAAATTTGGAAATTTGACATTTTGCTCCGTTGGGGGGGGGGTAAGGTCACCTTTTTTAGGTCGGCCATGGGAATAATTTTTTTTTTTTTTTTTTAATAATTAAAAAAAAAAAAAAGAAATCCAAAGGGGGGGGGGGGGGGGTTTTAGGTTTTTTTTAGGGGGGTTTACACACAAAAAATTTCCAAAGGGGGGGGGGGGTTTAACCCAGGCCCCCCAAGCTCCGCCATTTTGTCCGGATCCATTAGAAGCCAAAATAAGCCCCTTGCATAATTCATGAGCCTTATGAATTATGCATTCTGTAGGATGCTCCCCACGAAAAGTGTACTGGAATGATGTTCACTACATTGTAAAAGACAATACGCGTATCAGCGTAATTAGAGAGGTCAAATAGTCTACTGTACGGAATTATGGGTAATTTATTCATCACGCTGCGCGCTAGCAACGCAAGTGATTCAGCGAATCAGCGTGGATTATTCTGATGCGATCACCGTTAGGTGAAATACGCGCTCGAACTTGTATTATCGATCACCAGTATAACAGCTGGTGTACCCAGGATGCAGCGGGAAGTGGACTTTCAAAGTTCCTCTCGTTGTTGTGTTGTTGTTGTTTTTTAATATGGGGGAGTGGCCTTAACTTCGTTGAGAAATACTGATATTCTTAATGTTTCGATCTTATTCCCTTTTTAGTCTATCAATAACTGGGTCTGTTTTTGTTTTATTAAATCAAACATGCTATAAGCCATATAACAACACATTCTATGGCTATGATTATACATTTCAAATATGCTTATGTTTAAAGTTTCCTTATTTTAGACAAACAAATTATGTGGCAAAGTGGATGGTTTCTCTCCACCCACTCTCATCGTACCTAAGTTAACGATTCCCTTTCTCTGTCTTTCGTAAATTATTTTCTGCAACTAACGGTTTGTTGTCTTGACTGAACAACCTGTTGCAGTTCTTTTCTGTCTCACTTTCAGTCGTAATACCACTCATTTACATTTACTCGTTATCAACTACGATCAACCATTCCATATTCACTCCATTACTGTTCACATTTCACTTGGATTATCTTCACTTTTCCTTTTTGCAGCCTTTGCAGGAGCTTTGAACATTTTTAATGTAGAGACCAGAGAGATCGGAAAATATGTTAATCATTTTATTCAAATTTTCTAACTTGAAAATGGAAAGTGAAACATTGTTTTTCAACATCTTGACATCATTTTTGTTTTAAGACAATGGAATTTAACACTGGAAATTTTGAATTGGGTTGCCCCCTCCCCCCCCCTCCCTTCAAACCCCCCCCCCCCCCAGAAGTGGTACCAGGGTTAGTTAGTTAGGAGGCCCATGTCCTTTATAATTTTATTGTTAAGAATAGTTTTCTCTTTTTTTTAAAATTAATTTTACATTGGTATACCATTAATTTCACTGGGAAAACCACCCCTTCCCTTACACATCAATACTACCATTACTTCTAGCAACAGTAATTCTATAATTCAAAACATTTTCATTTTCTAAATCCTTCTAATATAAACATATAACAAATATAACATTGTTTACACTTTTGCAACCCGTTACACGGTCCATGTAGAAACAGCACCAGGAAGAGGATAACAAGCCCCCCCCCCCCCGTTTTCTTAAGCTAGAAAGTACCAAAACATGATTCTATTAAAATTAGCAGTTTTGATACAAAGGCAATGATGATTAGCAGTTTCCATATTTAGTGCATTTAGAGGGTTGTCTTTCAAACCTTCTTACATACAATACTTGAAGCAGCAATAATGTAATAATCTACAAAACTTCAAATACAGAAGTCCATAGACCGAGGTAAATGAATTTCAACATGTATAATTAAATTTGAAATATCATTGATTAATTCAATCTTTGATATAGACTAATAGATCTTTATCACTCACTCAAATTTCAAGGAAATTTCTTTCTGCCCAGCCCTCAGTTTCACCCTATAAGATGGAAGTTGACATTGTTAAAATGTTAATGTTTATTCATTGATGATTAGTTATCTTTAATTATTTGAAAGTTGACAAGATGATAAATTCATTAGCTTTTTTTAAATGTGGTATTCTACAAACATATAATACAAATAATAAATAAATAGTATGTAAATATTCAAGTTTAAACCCATCTCTACTGTCCTCTTTCATTATATGAGGGTGGCATCTTTAAGACGTAGTCCCATGTAGATGTCTTCTGCATTCATTGATGAAGTTGTAGCCTAGTTTTCAGAAGAAAGGGCTGTGATGATAACCCAAGTCTGTTGAATGGAAAAATGAAATAAGATACAGTGTATAAGAAAATAAACAACAACTTATAACATACACCCCGATACCTGCTCTGACAAAAAGAGGAAGGACTAATATTCACTTGGGATTCTAGGGGGCAAACCTAAACTATTTTTCCTACAAGACTAGCAATACTGACCACATGTTAGATTATTTCTGATGATCCCATTAAGACAATAGGCCTGATGGAGCTTGGATCAGGCAAGTATGAAATAACTAATACCGGTACATGAACAATGTACTTGTAATGTAAACTCATGGTCATAATTGAATAATACTTGGTTAAGTATGGGCCATAAAATGACCAAACAACTTGGAACAGAGAATGTACTGGAAATAGCTATTGAAACATACGTTATGTAGACTTATATTTCATGTATACGGTATTGACATTTTATTTTTAATCTAAATCACAATTGTGATATTCAGTCATGTATTCTTTTACAAGTCAATGGACAATGAAAAATATAATTGTCAGATCTATAACTTTCTGCATGATAAATGTGTTCTACAATAGTTTATTGGGGGTACCTACATGGTATATTAGCACACTTGCTTGTATGAAGTGCAGTAGGCCCACATCTCTAGATATGATTCTGTCAATATCTGTTCTTTATTCCTCTCCTGGGTTTGTAATCAGCATGCTTTCATCATCCACTGTAGAGAAGCATCATCCTACATAAGAGAAAGCAATGTAGGTACTTCAATTAAAAAGTGATAATAATAGATACATTTCAACCATAATTCATCGTATGAATTGACTTTCGTTAATCTTATGTTGTGTTCTTCTTCATCTTCATTGCTCAAGAAGTGAAAGGACCACTTACAAAAAAAAAGTAATGAGGGGTCCTGTGTATACCCTACATGTATGATCATTATCATTATTATGTAGTGCTTTGAATGTGCATTAGACATCGTTCTTCTACACACAGGACCTCCTGTAAATAAGGACAAATCCCTTTGTAAACAAAGAAAGGGAAGAACTATAATAAAATATTCCCTCCACTATACACACTTGAAACATACTCTTAGCTCCATTTCCTTTTTAGTGAATTAATAGGTGGTCGTTTAATATTTGTGTGCTAAATATCCTGAAAATTTTACCTGCATGGGACTTTCAGCTTCATCTTGAAAATATAAGAAATGTTGTAATGTCTACTCATCAGTTAACTCCTTCCAGCTCTTCATCAGTTTCCATCTGTTGGAACAAAAAGAAAACAAAATCAATACGACAATCAAGGGGGGGGGGGGTAAACCCCCCTACCTTCAGTTTTTTTTATGTGTATGTTTTTCTAGAACCCCCCCCCCTGTTTTTAGTGTTGTTTGTTTTTTTGTTTTTGTTTTTTAATACAAAACAAATCCAAATGGATGACCTAACCCCCCCCCCCCCCCCATGCTTATTCAGTGGCTGGCTGAGTCGTTGCGAAATTTTTGGTCAGATTTAAAAATGTTAACCCCCCCCCCCCCCCCTCCCCCTTGAAAAAATCCTGCGTACGCCACTGATAGGGGTCTAGATCTAGATAGTAAGGTCAAGGTCTAGACGCTAAAAATTGACAAGCATGCTGGACCCACACAAAATCTTATTATTAAATAAACAAATCCTAGTGTTGATGTTTTTTGGATACTTTTTATTAATAAGTTCCAGGTTTACATCTAAATGAAATAAGATTTGGAGTTGTTTGATTATCAATGGTCACAGATAATTTTGGTCTAAATAAAGTTGACACGGATGCAACTGAGCGAACGGATGGCACTGCACTGATAAAAATAAAGCCATCTAACAGTTAGAGTCAACATCTACTAAAGATTTTAACAAGAATTAATCCACTTGGATTATCAAAAAAATCATGCTTCAGAGATTATTGTAAGGTGTAACGTTAAATCTAGATTTAAATTAAATCGATGATTGGTGAATTAGCTAGATTCATGATGACGATCAAATCTGAAATAAAACTTGATTAGAAAGTTTGATCTTGATGCAGATGAGCACCGAAATTCCCCAGGGTGGGCCTGCCGGAACGGCCGGGTCCCTAACTGGAGTACTAGGGTGAAATGACGGCAAACCGCAGTCAAACTACTTCATGACGATGAAAATCAAAGTTCAATTTCAAGAGCAATAATTTCCTAGTCTTTTCCCAAAAAATCTGTTGAGAACGGTCTCACAATGTAACGAAATTACCGTAGATCACAAAGATTATTGCAGCTTTTTCAAAATTGATGACTAAATTCACTTAATCTACTCATATTTCAATCAATTACTCACCCATTCTCAATGAACTAAATCTTCTCAGTTTGTGCGAGTAGCCTGCGTCGTGCATAAATCTGCATAATCAAAGTGACGCAATGAGGTCAAATATATTATCCGGTTTCTTAAACGATACTATCGATAAAATACATATTCATGAGGCTCATATCCAATCAAAACGCCGCCTCGGGTGCTTATTTTGTCTTCAAATGATCCAAAAGAGGCGGAGCCTAATCCCATTCGTGTAATGGTTTCCGCGCGTGCTGCTTTCCGTCTAGTAATTATATTTAAACGTCTTTGGTTTAACCCCCCAAACCCCCCCCCCCCCCCCCCCCTGCGTACGCGCCTGGACGCAACAATACATGCGCATCTGAAAACATTGATGACGCAACGTTTACTCGCAAATTAAAATGTCGAACTTGACCTTGAAGGTGTGTGACCTGCATTCACTTGTTTGACAAGCGCAGGTAAATACCTGACGCCTCGTGTGCGATGGGCAATGCGTCATATCTTTGACGGCATAAAGCCCGGACCGAATGTTTTAGGAGAACTAAAATCGGATCCCTTTCCAGCAGTAACACAAGAAACAATGTGAAGAAATACGTTGGCTTGGCAAAGTTAACAGGTGAGTTTGCCTGCTAAATCTCAAGTCGATACATAAAGCTTAAAACATAAATTTCGATTACAGTACTCCAAAACGATGACATCTCTAAAAGAAAAACTCATAAATATATGATATTAATGAGAGGCATGACAGAATATCTACAGACGCCAAATAGCTAATACCTGATAAGGTTAAGAAGGGATCAGTGATTTGATGGAATTGCCGAGCCCTTTTCCACATCTGACCGGCATAAATAAGAAGAGCAACAAACGGATCGATTTTGTGCCCTTTCATCTACTTACAAAATGACATAAATGTGGCAACAAATAGACTCGATTTTTCACATTGCTCAACATGACTGATGAAAAGATATTGACTAAAACCGAACGTGGGTTAATCATCGAATCATTCTTTTTTTTTTGGTTGAGAAGATTTGAAAGAGAAGGTTGAAGGTGGATAGCCCTTTACAGAGTTGACGTCGTCGGACCGACGATCACAGGGTTCGTGCTTCGAGTCTGCCGCGCACATTTGCCACTCTCCACACTGGTGTTAAATTAGTATACTGGCAGGAGGGAATTCCGTTAATGCTGTAAGCACTAATGTATGGGTACGTACTCGTAGCAGACCCGGGGTTGATATTGGAGAGCCTTTAGCTCTTTACGTGGTTGATATGTGTGCTAGATGAATATCTAATAGTACTATTAGTAGTAGTAGTAGTAGTAGTAGTAGTAGTAGTAGTAGTAGTAGTATATGCTACACGTAAAGTACTTACATCCTTTACTGGTTTTCTTTAAGAACGTATTACGAATTAACAGTAGTCAATTAGTCCGGTTTATCGTTTATGCTGATCAGGTGTCACATTTTTAAAGGTTGAGATGAAAATTGGGTTGTGGCCTTTTTAATTTTAGGTATGTCAGTTTGGAATTATATCATGGTATATAAATGCCAGTATATTCGAAATATGACAAGAAATTGCTGATTCCACATAATTATATGCGTGGTCTGAACCAGTTCTACATGCAGTGAATATGACTTTTTTTTAGCAAGATTGAGTACATATCCTTTCATTGTGATTATCCACAAATACCCTGCTTTCTACGGCATAATTAACCTTTCCCAGTTGCTTGCATTGTCTTTTACACTGTATTCACTCCGTGCACAAACCTTTTTCGAAACGGCTTCATCAAAGGAACGTAAGATCGAGGTTAATGGGATGATGTCTTCAAAATGATAATTTTTCTTTCATTCTCTTGTCAGTGTGCGTTGAGGAGATAATAGGGACTTTTAGATTCGCACGAAGACGATGGGGATTGCTACGGTCGACGTCCTTTTAATGCACTGCCTTGAATGGACATCACACGTATCAGTCCACGCAAATCTAAAATTCTTAATACAGTCCCGAGATTACCTGGGGATCAAAACGGTTCCCCGTGCATGGATCTATAAAAAAAATTGATTGGAATATGCCTTTCCAAATTTATTTATTTATTTGTAGAGAAAATGGTCTTGAAAAAAAAAAATTAACCAAAGAATTTGCAAACTGCTCATGTCTTGCTGCACTATCCATTGAGATTTGCGTCGCCGAGTTGTTGGCTGAAAAGCCGTGTGCTATATTGAGTAGTTATTAGTCGATTGTATGCTCACATTTTTGACAAATTAGAAACCTGATATCCTCTCTATTCCCTGACGAGCGACTGCCGCATACGCATGACGAAAAAGAAAAAATAAGAAGAATAATACAAATTGGTGAAAGAGAAAATAAAGAAAAGAAGAGAAAAGAAATTGTTAAAACCTGCTAGGTTTGGCATAATAGCTGACAACTGTTTAATTCAGAATTTAAGCCTCCATATAACACTCAACAAATCCGTTTGAAAATCTTCCCTAGCATGTTCTGTGTAAGTGATCAATCGATTGAGAGATAGGCAGAGTGGTTTTAAAGGACGAAACCTGTCCTATATGTATGACACGATGCTTCTATTGACCCAATTTCAAATCAATTTACTGCCTTTGTGGGCTAGATTATGTAAAAGTCGGTTTTCAGGTCGCACCTGACTCACGGTAACCTGCACGTAGGTGGCATAAACTTGATTTTTTTTTTGTTGAATAAAACGACACCTCACAACGAAGCAAAACAATTTTTCTCATATGCTCAGGGATCTGGCAAAAGGGTGTCTGGTATGAATATGAATCACGTCTTTGCCCCCCCCCCCCCCCATTCTCAATGTGTGTTTTCAGAATTTATCGTTTAACACTTGGTCTAAATAATACCTGGAAGGATATATGTGCCACTTTTAAGGGGTGGGATGGTGAACGTTTTGCAGCCCCGTGACATGTTCATTGGACGTTGTGCGTATCAAAATAAGTGTACACAACATCGGTAGTTTGTAACTAAAGGTTATAGCTTATAACTCAAATCAATTCAGTTCGATTTTTACCTTAAATCACATTTCATTGCAAAGGGTAACTTATAGCCGTTTTCATAATTGTGTCACCATGGATTACTGAGCAGCAGGCTTTTCAAAAGTATTGTAAAAATCCTATCGTACCAAGTTTCGGACTGAAGCAATGAATGTGGGCTAAAAGCCTTTATTTGTGTGTTATCCCTTTCCAAAAACAATTGCTCACTTATTTACACTGACAGCTACGCAGTTGAAAAGAAAATGTGTCAATATCAATTAATATATTTGTTTTGCATCTTGGTTTTAGTAACCTTTGATTTTCCATTAGCTATCCTAGATAAACACATTAGGCTCCTTATGCGTGTGAAATGACAGTGGACAAGTGAGCAGAGAGATATTAGATACCACGAGAGGAGAAGTTAGTAGGCTGTTCAAAATAATTAAAGGTTATCTAATTAATTGAAACAAGTTTATATTAGAACATAGATACATTGCATCATTTAAGACAATGAAACACTGAAGCAGAAGGAATTATTTAACTTTTTAAAAAGATTTAAGATCAAAGAAGCACATGCATATGACCTGATCCACATTCGTTACATCAGTCCAAAGTTGGAATAAGGAGATTTTGACAACATTTTTTAATGACCCCGGTGCTCAGTCATCCGTGGCAGTAATATTATAAATAAAGTATCATTTGACAGAAAACAAGTGACTCTTCATCGAAAAATTGCTTTTAAAGTCATATAGGTCATGACTTTTTAATACGGGCTATCAAAGTTGGGACTGTTGGGTACACTTCTTTTTGCTACGCACTGTATAAAGGAGTCAAAATGTGTGCAGTTTTGAGGGCAAGAAACCTTGAGTCATTATCAACATTCACCATCTGCATTTGGCGTTTTATTCATCAAACGATTTCATTCACAATGACATAATACATAAGATAGCGCATGTGGCTAAAGGAATTAATGAGTCGATGATTAATAATTAGATATATCGATAAATCATATTATTGGTGATAATGATAATAATACAAAATAATAATCATAATAATAATAATAATAGCAGAATTATAATCATAATAATGACAATAATAATGGAAGTAAAACTTATAATTACAACGATAATAATAAGTATGATAACAATCATGATAACCCCTATCATAATACTAATAGTAATAGTATGATAATAACATTGGTGATGGTAAATGTTCATGCTATACGTGAAAAAAATCAGTTCGATAACCATATGTTTCGACCTCATGTTACCTTTTCTAACGATCCATCAGAACTACCCGAGTGATCCATTCATCTAACGGCGCCAACCATCCGCCTCTACGTTTCGATTCAAACACCGCAAGGTAATTTCAAGAGCAAGTGATACAAGAAAAACAAACGCTTAAGCAGGCATTCAAGCGCGCAATGACAGTTTTGTTTATATGTACCCTTTATCGACATTTAATATCAAAAACGGACTACGCACCTGCGCCTCGTGGCGTTATTGAGTCACGTGACCGGTCATTATTCCCTAGGAGTTCGGCGCCAAAGCTAAGGAGTTGTTTGTTCGCAGTGAATTATTTCGTAAAAAATAACGCTGTAGTTAGCATTGCCAAACCAGGGAGGTGAAAGAAAGGAGTGGTAACTCTTATAAGTTATTCAAACGCATTCGTGAGTTCTAAAGCGTAACAATGGGATGTGTAACATTCCACTTGACTTTGAAGTTACATGCTTCGAACCGCGCTTTCACTGCGAGGACTTTCGGAAGCTAGGCACCATTTTTACATTTATTACAAAATATTAAATTACCGGCAAAATTTCAGTGTATATCAAAAACGTTATATGAGGATTTTATTGGGAATAGTGCATCAAACAAACGTTCAAATTTAGTACTCCATCTTTCCTATGATTTGTGTGCCAGAGTTGGTTAAAGAAAATTAGATCCTGACAAAAACTCAATATTTTAGGATAATGCGCTAATATGTGCATGTTTTAATGTCCAGTTATTTAATCTATGATTATCAATCTTCTTTTAACATTAAGTTTGCTAATGCGTGTTTTCGCGTGTTTTTTGTAT